TAACCCTTAACCTAACGCTAAACCTAATCCTAACCCTAACCCTAACCCTAACCCTTAACCTAACCCTAAACCTAACCCTAAACCTAACCCTAAACCTAAACCTTACCTTAACTTGAATCGGCTTGCTTTCAAAGCGCTATTTAAAGCGCCCCTTTTCCCCCGCGGTTGCTGTTGTCGCCCTGCTGATGACGTCAGCGACGCGGTTTAATCGGGCGCGCTTTAGTGGAGCGCGGTTTTGTCATGCCACGGAGCACAACACCTACTAGAGATGAAGTCAAGTTCCAGTGAAACTGTTAAGACTCTTAATGCCAGCCTAATGGACTGTAAAAAGACCCCCGAGGAATTGGGCTGTAGCTCCATGGTCTTCGTTACTACGGCTTCATTCATTTGCTGAGTTGATTGGTTGGAGGATGAGAATGGCTTTATTCTTGGGCCACATTGGGGGGAAAAAAGTAGGCTTCCTACTTTGGATTGTACTACGTTGAAAGTTTGGAGCAAAAAAAGCTTGGGCATAAATATTGCAGCTGGTGGATCTTTCATGTCAGTGCACCAAGACATTGGGGCTGGCGAGAAAAATGCTGAGCGTCAGACACGCTAAAAAATAAAATAAAATATTGCTCTCGTGGAGAAAAAATGCGCATTCCGTTGATTTACTATGTTTTCGGCATTATACAAGACTAATAGAACGATCCTGTGCAGGTTTGATTAAGAGATTTATTCCTACTGAATATACAGGAGCTTCCAGATAACTGTATATAGAAATTGTGGCTGCTGTCATTTCAAAATAAATTATTATTTTTTGAGTTCCAGCTCTGATGGGTTTTAATGCAAGGTATAATTTTGAAGATGTTTAAATCTGCAATTAACATTTTTTTTAAAGGCAGGGCGGGGTGGGAGGGGAGAATTAAAGAAATTTGCTAATGTACCATAATGGATTAAGTACTTCCATTGCAGGGAGTCCTTGACTTATGACCAACACTGAGCCCAAAATTTCTGTTGGTAAGCAAGACGGTTGTTAAGGGACTTTTGCTCCAATTGACACTTTTCTTGTCACAGTTATTAAGTGAATCACTGCAATTATTGAGTTAGCGACTCTGTTGTTAACTGGCTCCTGCATTGGCTTTGCTTATCAGAAGATCAAAAATGGGGATCACATCACCCCAGGATACTGCAACCGTCCTACGTACATGCCAGTTGCCAAGATTCTGAATTTTGATCAAGTGACCATGGGGGATGCTGCCACAATTGTAAGCAATAGTGGGATTCAAAAATTTTTTAATACCGGTTCTGTGGACGTGGCTTGGTGGGCGTGACAGGGTACTGTATACTATAAAATCTCCATTCCCTCCTCACTCCAGGGGAAGGTTACTGCAAAATCCCCATTCTCTCCCCATTCCAGGGGAAGGATACTGTAAAACCCCATTCCCTCCTCACTCCAGGGGAAGGATACTGCAAAATCTCCATTCCNTGTTGCAAAACTGGAAATGTGATGTAGAATAAAGGAAAATGCACAATAAAAGCATTTTTTTAAAAAAAGGAAAGAAATAAAGATAACTGGACAAGGATTTAGGCAGCTTTAATTTCAAATCTCCAATTAGCAGTTAGCTGTGAAACTCCGTAGATGGTGAGTTGATTCACATTTCTTTTGCTAACTGGCAGGATTGTTTTGAGAACGAAGGCACTGGCCATGGAAAGAATGATGAGCACTTATGCTCCGATCCCGCCAGAGACAAAATAGGATGAGAAGGACAATGGTAAGGTTGATAAGGAACCTTTGAAGTGCATCACGATGCTCTTTGAATTTTGGCAGAGAACAATCGGGCCGGGTCTGGGCGTTGGTCCTTACCCGATAGTAACGGCACATAGGATTAAAAGCATTCGTTCCACAGACAAACACCATCTCATCGTTCCTGGGGACGAAGACTTTAATAAAATTATGGCATTCATCCTAAAAAAAGAAATTAAATTAAAAGAGGAAGAAGAGAGAATGGCTCACATTGCTATTCACTAGCAAATATTATTTTTGAACATGTGCTCAGTGAGCTGGAAATAAGGAGGGGGAAAAACAATCTGGGGCTAACAAAGCACTTACAATTTCAGTGCTAATGGAAGTTCTCTTTCTATCAATCCGACCAAGTGCAACCCATTTCGTAAGAATATTAATTTGGACTTTTCAATTTTGCTGGGAAAAATCAGTCTGAAAAGGACTGTGCAGTGTTCCATGGGCCCCCACCTACCCCAAATCCAGATTTTTTGCAGCGATAAAGAGATTAATGAGTTAATTAGCAGTTCTAAAACAGCATCCATCATGCCCTTTGAGAAGATTTCGGTGGGTTAAAAGTATTTTGCTTAAAAGACAAACCTACTTTGTGCTTTCCTTTCATAGCACAGTTCTCTCTGTCCTGTTGCTTTGACCGCCATGTTAATTTCTGTTCAGAAAAAAAGAAAGAACAAGACAATTTTGTCATCGACCAAGAATGCTTGTTTTTTTTTAAAAAAGCAAACAAAACAAAACAACAAAACACAAAAGGTATTTACAGCATTTTCTTTTTTTTTTTTCCTAACCTTGCTTGGAACAACTTCCCCTTTTGGAATGTCATTCAAGTTTACTGTATAAACTTGGTCCCTGGAAGAAGAAGAAAAAAGAAACTGTCAGAGTTTGTTGCAGAAAAATCAAATCCAGAAATCACACACTGATAACTGATTCAGCTGGATTCATTCACTTCTTTATATACATNAAAAAAAAACAGAAGATGCAGTGATGTCACAGGCCTTTTCATTCTCCCCTTTTTTTGTCTCCTCTATCAATATGGTCCATTAGAACAAAAAGAGGTTCTCACCCGCAAAGAGGGCAACGTTGGTTTGCTTGGCATCAAATGGGCATCTGGCCAGACCACTAATTTCGTCACCGTCATACTCCAAGGTACTCAGCTGAAGAAGAAAGATACATTTTGGGTGTTAGGTTATTTCAGCTTCCCCTGGTCTATGTAATAGGTCAACAAAATCAGGTATTCCTAATGTCAACCTTCCTCAGAGGGGTATCTTCTAGATATGTGGGACTTCAGCTTCCATAGCTTCTAGCCAGCATGGTCAAAACCCAGCACTTCTGAAGAGAACCAAACTAAGAAGGCTAATCTGAAGTTTCATTGACCCTCCTAAATCTGATCACACCTCTCCTACAATGCAGAAGACGTATTGCACAAGGAAGCACAAAGGGACCAGATTTTCCATCCAGAAGCCTACCATCCATGATGGATGCTTCCTTGAGGTTCAAAATTAATGAATTAGAATTACTGGGAAAGACTTACTGTATTAATATGTGTGTCTTATTGCAATCACCTTTTCAACCATCATACAAATGAAAACCTTTGGACTACATTGGCTGCTGGTTCTTATGTTCATTTGAAAGAATCTGCAAGCTGTGATGGCAGCTTATGGATGGACGAGGGGATACCAAGCCCTTCAATTCATCAGATTGCATAATGCAGATTGCATAATGCAGATACAAAATGGCAGATATGCACAACTATGTTTTGAATTCAGCAGAACTGCTTCCCCCGAATGCTATGTTAAATCAACATTTTATTACAGTGTGGTTAGAAAACTGACAACACAACAAACAGATCTAAAACCAGAACTATTCTTATTAGGTATACTACCAGGGAAATACAATAACATTATACTTAATGTTATATGTAATAACATATGTGTTATTATGAGCCAAGGTGGCGCAGTGGTTAAATGCAGCACTGCAGGCTACTGCTAGATCAGCAGTTCAGCGGTTCAAATCTCACCGGCTCAGGNCCCACCCCACTCCAGGGGAAGGATACTGTAAAATCTCCATTCCCTCCCCACTCCAGGGGAAGGATACTGTAAAATCTCCATTCCCTTCCCACTCCAGGGGAAGGATACTGTAAAATCCCCATTCCCTTCCCACTCCAGGGGAAGGATAGTGTAAAATCCCCATTCCCTTCCCACTCCAGGGGAAGGATACTGTAAAATCCCCATTCCCTCCCAATCAGCTGGAACTTGGAAGGCAGAGAATAGATGGAGGCATGGCCAGGGATGGGTTGTTACCGGTATTACTGCCAGTTCGATGCAAAAAAAAAATTACATTTCTGCAATGGAGATTGTTCTGTGCATGCAATAAACAAAAATCAAGATGGCGCCACAGAGAATAGAATTGGTTCGGGTGTGTGGGCGCCGAAACGGTGCGTGGGCAGTAGAACCGGTCCAAAATGGTAGGAACCCACCTCTAGGCGGGGCCAATCAGAGGTGGTATTTACCCATTCTCCAAACTTCTTAAAATTTCCGCTACCGGTTCTCCAGAACTGGCCAGAACCTGCTGAATACCACCTCTGGTTGTGTGAAAAACGGTCATGTCACATTTTTTGTATTGTTTTTGTGACTGTAGCTGTTTTGAAAAATAGTCACTAAGCAAATGATTTACCTGTAATCAAGAGTTCCTAAAGTGCTCAGTCGCAGATCAGGATGGCCTATAGATCACCAACCTTTCGGATCTCAGGGACCACTAAATTCATAATTTTAAATCCCGCAGAGCACTAATTTGTATTTGTTTAAAAAAAAGATAAATAGTATTTGGTGCAATATCAAAAATGCAAAGGATTTTTCTGCGAAGCACCAACATTTTCTCACGGACCGCCAGTTGGGGACCGCTGCTGTAGAAGTTTCTGCGTCTAGCATCTCAAACTGGAGACTCTCAGATTTAGCGAGAGAAGACAACTCTACAGAATCTAAAATCCTTATTTGTACCCACTGGCTCCATTTCAACTGAGTAAATAAAAACAGTCGATCATTACGGGACTAACTTCCACTGAACTGTGCAAGCCTTCTCATCTCCGGAGAGAAGTTTGGAAGTTGTGAGTGTTTGGAAAACTACAGCTGAGCATTGAGCATTTCTGCACCAGTGGTTTATAGCACCACCCAGCCATAGCTCTGAGAATAAAAAGCTGTTTGGGTTATTTCACCACAGAGATGGCTGGATAATGCAAGGACTGCTAATTGCCGAAATGCTAATTACATCTGAACCCAGTTACCCAAAGCCAGCCAACTTGGATCATTATAAACCTGGCTTCTTTCCACTAAATATAGTGAAGACTGGATAGTAGCTGGCAACAGATTTCCTCAACCTGGCACCCTACAGGAGTGTTGGAGGTCAATTCCATGGTAGGGTGATCAACAGTCAACTCTCCCAACCAGTGGCTCTTTTCAACCATGGATGTGTGGATTTCAGTGGTGGGATTCAATTTTTTTTTACTACCAGTTCTGTGGGCGTGGCTTGGTGGGTGTGGCATGGCTTGGTGGGCATGGCAGGAGAAGGATACTGTAAAACCCCCATTTCCTCCTGCTCAGCTAGGACTCGGGAGGCAGAGACCAGATGGAGGTGGAGCCAGTCAGAGGTGGTATTTACCGGTTCTCCAAACTACTCAAAATTTCCATTACCGGTTCTCCAGAGCTGGTCAGAACCTGCGGAATACCACCTCTGGTGGACTTCAATTCCCACAATTCCCCAACCAACATGCCAGCAATTGGATTGTACTGCATTTGGATTGTTCCCCAGCATACTGGCTTGGGAATTCTAGGAGTTGAAGTCCACATATCTTCACGTTGCCAAGATTGAAAACCATGCTCTAAACAGCAATTCTTTGGGAATGAGAGTCTACGAATTTGAAGACCTCCAAAACTGGAAAAGGGTGAGCACTTAAGAGTTGACCCACAAATCAATATTCTTATTTACTTAATCCACATCCTATTGTTTTTGGCCAAACGTTTTTCAAGTTGGCTAACAATGAAGCAATACGAGTCTCCGCAACTTAACTGTATTTTTAGCCTCCCTCTTAAAAAAAAAAAATCTTGCAGAAGAAGATGGGAGGGATGGGAAGAGGTAACATTAAAAAAAGAAAATCAATATCTCCCTATAAAAAGTATGCAAAGGCTATGACAGTGTTAGAAATTTACAATTCCCTAGAATCCAGAAGCTAAACTCCAAAGCACAGTTCTTTTGTTTTAGTTTTTAAAGTCATAGAAAACCTAAGCACAAATCCATTTGGAGCACAATTCAAACATGGAAATGAAGAAATGAAACTCCAGCTGTTGAAAACCTTCGTTTCAGCAAGGTAAAGGTAAAGGTTCCTCTCGCACATATGTGCTAGTCGTTCCCAACTCTAGGGGGCAGTGCTCATCTCCATTTCAAAGCTGAAGAGCCAGCGCTGTCCGAACACATCTCCGTGATCATGTGGCTGGCATAGGTACACGGAACACTGTTACCCCCCCACCAAAAGTGGTCCCTATTTTTCCATGGCTCTTTGCGCCACTCGTAGCT